GAGCAGATCAAGCCATGCCATGCAGAGTTATGGTATCGAGAAGGTCGGCCGGAACAGATCATACAAGAGCGGCGGAATTTTCTGGAAGGCATCTCCACCAGATCTGAACAGGACTTCTTGAGCTGTGTAGAGTTATGGTATCGGTGCGGCTGACAGTTCGGAATTTGTGCACGGTGCTTAACTCCAAAACCCCTCATGCACGACATGGGCTCACCTGGCTCTTGCCAGATTTTTTTTTGCTTTTTTAGCAGAGACCCATTTGTTACATTCCTTGCCTCTGCCTTGCTTCTGGTTGCATTTGCTGTTGCTGGAACGGCTGTTGCGTCCCCTCAAACAGTCCGAACTGCACTTTTCGCTGCCGGAAGTTGCGCCTCAACTTCAATTTCTTTTTGCTTTCTGAGTCTGTGCGAGCGTCAAATCGGTTTTTTTTTTAAACTTTTGCAAGCAAACACCATGCTGCTTGGGTCCTACCAAAAGTGTGTTCGAGAGCCTTGAGGGGGGGTGGGGGGGGAAAACAGTACGACTCTGAACGCTTGAATCCTTGCGGACATGTGATTGACGATTTCACTTGAGCTTGATTTTACCTCGGCTTGATTTTAGATTGAGTGCTTGATCACTGTACAGTGTGAATGAGATCCTTGCACGGCAAAGTTACGACTCAAGTTCTTTTGTGAGTGGGTGGGCGTAGGGGACCTCCGGCGCTATGGCTCACCGTGAGTGAATTCCGGCAATGGGCTCGGAGTGGCAGCAGATTCGAGAAATCAACCCTGTATTCTGCGAGCGTGTTTCGAAGGTCTTCTTTCATATTGGAAACTTTTGCTTGGCTGCAGCTACGCTTGAGGATGTACAGGCAATCGTGGATGATTCGATGAGTGATGTTCTTAAGATTGAGGATCGTGTGGCGCTTACAGAATCAGTGCATAAGTGGTGCGCGCTTCATCAGGGGACAGTGGATAGGACTGTTCGCGAGATCGGGCAGAATGTCCGACGGGGGCCTTATATCCGTCGTGGGCCCAGTGTGAGGGCTGCCGATTTGTATGAGGGGCTTTTGGCTTCTGATCCTGTGCTGGGTTTGGCTGCTCTTGAGAAGAAGTTAAAGCTTCGCAAAGCTGGAACAGGGGCGCGTGTGGAAGCAGAGGACTTGTGCAGGCGCCGCTGGGGTCTCAAGCTCGCGGGCTACATCCAGGAGGCGGCTCTGCCAGCGTCTGAGAGAATTGGGTCGCTGGCTGACGCGGAATCGGCCTGGCTACGGGCTTTCGGTAGCAGGCGCGGCAAGACCTTGAAGAATCGGGCTCGCACGTGGGAGCCGGTGCGCGTGTGGATGATTCAGGCGACCGGGAAACCTTGGCCAGGAGACACATCGCTGTTGCTGCAGTACTTCGATGAGAGGCATCAGATCAGGCCGATGGGGAAGACTGTTCCGCAGAGTATCTTGTCAAGCCTTGGTTTGCTGGAGCTGGTTGGGCAGAGGCCTTCAGCAGATAGGCTGTCGGAGGATCCTTTACTTGTGGAGTCTGTGAAGGCATGGACGATGCAATTGGAGACAGGTGCCGAGCCGGTCAAGCAGGCGGAGCTCGTTACGGTGGCAATGGTGCTCTCGGCTGAGATTCTGCTTGTGAAGGTCGGGACACCCCCTGGGCTGCGGTTCGGATGCTTCATTTTCTTGCTTATGTGTTGGGGAACGCTGCGATGTGACGATATACAGGGGATCGATCCTTCGAGTGTTACGCTGTCGCAGCTTGGAATGAAATTTGTTCTTTCCCGGACCAAGACCTCTGGACCTGGAAAACGGATCGGGCAGCTGCACGGATACCTTGTGAGGAGCATAAGCCTTTCTGGCTATGACTGGATTGCGCATTCATGCAAACTCTTGATGAGCGAGGATTTCAAGTTTGCTCGGGATTTCTTGTGTCCAGACATTGGAGAGTCGTGGGAAGTCAAATCGAGGGAGTACGTTGGCGCAGAGGGCGTCGCCAACCTTGTGCGACGTGTGATCCTGGAGCTGCCGGTCCCGGGGAAGAAGGATGGAGTCTGGGGTCTGAGCAAGACAACGAAGCTGGTCCCGAAGGAGCTGGCGCTCTTCTGGTCCGGGCACTCGCCGAGACATTTCCTTCCATCCTTGGCGGCCGCAATTGGGATCGACGAAAAGAAGCGCGACTTCCTCGGACGTTGGGCGGCTGCCCGGCAGGGGTCAACCGCTTATGTGCTGACGGCCAGACAAATTATACAGCAAGTTCAGGCTGAGGTGTGCGAAACACTCTTGACTGGGAAGAACCAGCCCGGCTACATCGAGGAGGAGCTGCTTCTTCGCTTAAAGGCGTTTGCGGAGCAGCATGGAGTTTCTAACGGGGCTGTTGCACGCCACAATGTCATGGTGTGGTGTGCACTCAACTTGTGCTGGAGTCTTCAAGGAAAGTTTCCGGCAATTGCAGTTGACCCTGGAAGCCATCAGCAAGCGGTGGCCGAGCCACCGAAGGACCAGCCGGCGCCTTCTCCGGAAGATGCAGATGCGCCATACTTTGTGGTTGCGAGTCGTAGTGGGCACAGACGTCTTCACATGTCACGCACTTGTGCTGTAAGGCAGGAGCGTTGCTTGGAGACCATTCCTTTGTACAGCATCACTCAGGATTCTGCAGATGCAATCTGTAAGTTATGCAGGCCCCGGCTACAGGAGCAAGGGGCGATCAGCAGTGAGTCCGCATCCTCAGATGCAGTGGAAGTGGAGCCGTGACACTTGAGGGGTGTGAAAATTTAGTCGCATCAGTGGCTTGTCGCGTGAGTCAAAGCAGGAAGTACTTCGGTTGTGCCACGTCCCGTGAGTGTCAGATTGGGACATTGCATCAGATTGAGAAGAGCCGCAGTCACGTCAGTATCAGGTGCAGTGCTTTGACATGTCTTTCTTGTCTTAACGTTGTGCAAATTGAGGTGAGCCGATCTGACTCTTCAGACACAGTGGCATTTCTTCACACAGTGGGTTCGGAGGTAGCTTGCAGTGAGTTCCAGACATGGATTTGCCAGCTGGAGTGAGTGAGGAAGCGGCTTCGAAGTTCTTGTCCACTGAAGTCGATGCTGAACTTGCACACATCCTTCAGGAAGCCGGAGTCCCGATTGGATTGCAGTACAAACTCACACAGTCTTTCAAGACTGTGAGGCGGTTTCAGTCTTATGAGGACACCCGTGCAGGGATACGAGATGCCTTGAAGAACGATTTCGCTCTGGAGCCTACTACTCTTGATAAGCGTGCTGGGATCTCAGCTGTGATTAGTGCTTGGGAGGCATGTCAACAGTTTGCCGCGAAAGAGCAGGAGCTTCGCGCGGAAGCGCGCGTGTTAGGGGTTTCAAGGCCCGTCACACAGACAGATCGGAGTGCGATGAGGGCCGCCTTCGAGGCGACCCACGGCAGGCTTGAAGATGCACATGAGCCTTCCGAGGATTACATCTCATGCAAGATGGAGGAGCTTGAGGCTCATGAGCCGACGGCTTCGCCGCTGTCCGAGGTTACATCACGCAAGACTGTGAAGACTCAGGGGATCCAGACTGCAGTCGATTCTTCAGGCCATGTTCGCATCGTGCGGACGAAGGTCAAGGGATCATTGCCTCAGGGCACTGAGGAATTGCGCACGGTGATGCGTGTTGAGTGCAACATGTGGTGCTTCTTGGCGACCAAATATCGCAACCGCGAGCTCTTGCGAGGCATGGACCCCGAGTGCTGGAATCAGTATGTTGCATTTCTGCTGTCTGACAAGGTTTACCTTATGAAGGTGCCGATGGCAGGTGGCAAGGGCAATCAGACCGAACATGTACCATTGCGGCCCCCTTGGTCAGTGTTGCTGAATTTCGAGTTTGAGTTGCGAAAGGAGGCAATCAAACGGGCTGTACAGGGCAATCGGCCTTTGAAGGATACACTCGCGGAGGTGACGTCCGATGCTCAGCTCAAGGAGCAGTATTTTACATCGCCCATTGCCCTTCAGCAGGTTGCACCTCCACCGCGGCCAGATCCTTTCTGGCCACAGCGACGGTTCCGACAGTGGGACAATGATTGGTCCGAGAGCCCGGCTAAGTGGCAGCGAACAGGCAAAGGACGTGGCCATGGAAAGGGCAAGAACGGCAAGGGGGGCAAGGCCAACCGCGATGAATCCAAGGGCGATGGCAAGGGCCTCGGCGGTGGCAAGGGCAAGAGTGATCATGCGCTCTGGACACACACGCCGGATGGACGTCAGATTTGTTTTCCATTTAACGCTCAGGGCTGTGATGGCAGCTGCGGTCGAGTTCATGTATGTCGCGTCCGAGGATGCATGCAGTCCCATCCGATGTGGCAGCATTTCCAGAGCTTGGCAGCAAAGGCGGCAGCACCGACCGGGGCGCAAGCCACCAACTGACGTTCTAAACTCACCGTGCTGTATCTTTTCGCTGGGCAGGCACGGGAAGGAGATATCAGATCACACTTACAGCAGCTCTGCACGTCGCGGGGACTGGATTTAATTTTGCATGAGTTTGATTTGCTGCGAGGTCCTGAACAGGATCTATCGTCGCACAGGCTTTGGGAGCGTCTCTTCAAGGACATTTCGTCTGGAGCCTATGATATCCTTATTTTGAGCCCGCCTTGTTCCACTTTTTCGCGGGCTAGACATCGTTTTGCGGGGGCATTTGGCCCACGCCCACTTCGTTCACATGGCCATCTGCTGGGTTTTCCTTGGTTGCGTGATTCAGATCGCACAAAAGTTGAGCTGGCAAATTTCTTCGTGCAACAATCGTTTGAGGCCATCCGTTTACAGAGGCAGCAGGGCTTGTACTTCATTCTTGAGCACCCTGAAGATCTGGGCCGTGTGCCGTCTGGCGAGAGGCCTGCTTCCATTTGGTCTTTTGATGAGGTTCGTCAGATTTGCGCTGGAGGCGATGTCAGTTGCTGGGCATTGCATCAATGCCTTTTCGGGGCTATGTCATGCAAACCCACCCGCTTGTTATCCAATTTGCCCGGAGCGTTGAACTTTGGGATACAGATGCCATGTTTCAATGATGACGGGGACTACGTGGGGCCGCTCTTGCGCTGCCCGCATTCACATGCAGATCGAGCCTGCGGTTTTCAGGATGGCACTTGGAAATCGGCCGCCACGGCGGCTTACCCTTCGGAGTTCGCTGCTTTCTTCGCCCGTCTCTCTTTGAGTGTGGTGCCTGAGCTGAGGGCCGTGGCTGACTCCGACCTGATCCCAGCTAACATCCCTTCATCCGCCGAAGCCTTTGCCACGGAGTGCATCACACGCGGTTCTTTCGATCGTGCTTCAGTTCAGATTCTTTTCGACTTGCTTCCTAAGACTCGGCCCCATAAGATCACAGGCAATGCAGAACCTGGCACCGCTTTCTTTGGAGGCACTGTGCACCAGGAGGGTCTCACCGCACCACGGTCCACTTGTTTTACATTCCCCGAGTCCATGCGTGTGATCAATGCTTTTCTTCACTCCGTGGACCCGCACCACCGTTACGCTGCTTTTGTTCTCACAAAGAACGTTACTAGTGAGGTTCATCGTGATCCGCGGAACGCAGATGTGCCCAACTTGATTGTGGCAATTTCCTCCTTTTCTGATGGTGGCATTTGGGTACAGGATGACTCAGGTACCCAGGTGCGATCCTTTCACGGCTCGCCCGTCACAGGCACTGTACACTCCTTACTTACAAGACGGACCCGTCTACCTGGATGCCCGTGGATGTTTGCATGCTACCCAACCTTGGGTTGGGGATCGTCTCATCGCCATTGCATACACCCCTCAGAACGTGCACCTGCTCTCTGCTGATGATTCGGCTTTTCTGGCTTCATTGGGCTTTCCTGTCTTGGATTCCTCTCCTGCGGGGGGGGAGGCACCAGCGGAATCCTTCGTTTCCTCAGACAACTTCACCTTGGCTGCAGCAGTGCCGGCGATAGACAACTCAGGCACTGGAGACGCTCAGGAGGTCGTGGTGGTCGATCATGAGGAGTCGGCCAGGGAAGCTTTTGACCCCAAGACTAGTCGCGCTTTCGGGCAGCCCATGATCTGCAAGTTTGAAATGGGCAAGCAAGAGTTTGTGGACAGCTTCGGGTTGTGTTCGCCTGGCCGTTGGGCTCCCGAGGCGAGAGAGAAGTTGGCGTCGAGTGATGAGGTGGCACATGCAGAGGGAATTCGCGGATTGCTACGAGACTTTGTGATTGATCAGCTGAAAGACCCCAAGGACATGGCGTTCCGTCTCGCGACGGGCCATGTGAAGAATTCTCCTTTCGCGGAGTCTGCCTTGCAGAAGTTGAGGCAGAGGATCGTCGGGTTGATCCCAGGGGCGTCTTCAGACCTGCTGCGTGTACCCGAGCGGCAGCCGTTCCACTTGTACTTGCTGGCCGAGTCGCTGAGGCTACTTGGTGACCCCGACTGGGAGATTCTTGTGCAGGGGGAAGAGTGTTATGCCGAGGGGATGCCGGTGGGCTTCGACTCGCCACTGCCAACGGCGCCGCAGGTGTTCCGGCCGAGGGACCGCTTCCGCAAGCTGGATGAGAGTGAGTTTGAACCGCAGATGCAGAACTACTCTTCTGCCGAGCTGTCTTCAGATAAGATCGAAGAGCACTTCAGGGCTGAGGAGCGGGAAGGCTTGATGGTGGCGACGACTGAAGGGGCCGTGAAGGCGGAGTACGGCGGCCGCCATGGGGGCCATTCTTAAACCAAGTGGTGATGTCCGCCCTCTTCACGACGCCACCCACGGCGTCCGCTTGAACAATGGTATAAGGATTGCAGACAAACTCGAAGTGCCTGGACCTGCAGAAATCATCGAGACCGTGTCCAGGGCGCGGCAGGATTTTGGTGTCCCCTTCTCCATTGCGGCGGACATTGCCAAGGCACACAGGAGGTCCAAAATACGACGACGCGACTGGCCCTTGTTGGGCTGCCGGACTTCGTCGGCATCTAAAGTGATTTGGCTTAATTGCGTAGGAACTTTCGGGGTAAGTTCAGGCGATCCTTTGGGCCAGATTGTTCGGATGCATCGGACGCTGGGTCTTGAGAGTGATGGGACGGCTCTGGAATGTGCAGATTGTGTACGTTGATGACCTTCATATCGTGGTGACTGGTCCCGACAAATACGTGGTGCTCTGGATGATTCTGGCTGCTTACGAGGTGCTGGGCACGCCGTTTTCTTACCGGAAGTTCCACGGTGGTGTTGAGTGCGAGTTCGTGGGCTACTGGCTTTCTTACCGAGAGAGTGCCGCCGGGATTTCGCTCAAGAGGACGCGCTGGGTTCTTGATTGGATTGACAATGCCGAGGCGAACAACTGGTTCATCACGGGTCGGCGCTTTGCCGAATTCCTTGGACGGCTCAACTTTGTTTCCAGGGTGTTGACTTGGATCAAGCCTTTTCTTGCACCGCTGTATGCTTTTGATGCCGTCTTGCAGAAGGGGACTGTGGCGAGGATTCCGGAGTTGGTCTTCGTGTCGCTGTTGTACCTCAGGGAGCAGTTAGCGGACTCCAGAGGACTCCACAGTGTGCTACAGGATTGGCGGGCACCTCGGGAGAGTTTCAGAACAGATGCAAAATGTGCCAACGGCTTGGTGGTGCTCGGGGGCTACTCGCTTGAGAAGGGGACGGACCCGTCGGGGGCCAGATGGTTTTGTCTCGATGTGGTGCCGCAGGACTTGCCTTGCCTTTTCAAGGAAGATGGCGACAGCCAATGGGCATCGACGAGTGCGGAGTTGCTAGCCTCACTTGCGGCGATGAAAGTCTTTGATCATCTGGAAAAGGAAACGGCGGGAGTGCGTGACAACATCAGGACTGTGGTTTGCGGCGGAACTGACAATTCTTCGACTGGCAAGCTGCAGAAGAAGGGCTCGAGCACTAAGTGGCCGTTGATGGGCATCTAGATGGCTTGTGCAGCGGCTTTGCATAAAGTGAACAAGCAGCTCACGCTCCAGTGGAGGCCTAGAGATGAGAACACTTTGTCGGATGCCATCACCAACCACGATTTTTCGAGTTTCTGCCCGGAGCTGAGAGTTCCTTTGAAGCTGGACGATCTGCCGCTTGATATTTTCCTTCGCATGGTCCACTCCAGGAGTGCTTTCTTGGATTCGCGTGTCAGCTTGCAGCGATTGGTCTCGAGGGAGTCGGCAATGTCTCGCCGGGAGAAGGAGACGAGCAAAACACCTTGGTGAGCCTTCACATGTCGGACTGGCTGCCTTCCTTCGGGGGGGGGTCTCGAGGCAACTGCGACCGTCATGTGAACATGTGGTCCAGGCTTCAGACGGCAAGATCCAGTTTGACGCACCGATTGAAAACAATGGTCTTCGAGTATGCCTTCGATTGCGCGATGCCTCAAGAGTGATTCTGAGCAACTGCATGTTCGATCGTTAACTGCTTGAGCTTTGGTGTGGAACCTTGGTGAATGCATTCGAGCGTCAGCTGCAGTTGATTTTCCAACGACTTTTGATTTCCCTTAAAACCCGACCCTAACCCTCAAGGCTCAAAGGTTCGACTCAAGGCGTGAGAACACTCTTTCCAATGCTTGGATTAGAAGATGATTGAGACTACATCTTAATAAAAGGGTATCAAGACCAATGAATTGCTTTTTTGGTTGCGTGTCTCTTTGCGCAGGTTGCATCCGCTGTCACAAACCTCGGCCTTCGGAGGTCTTGCGCCTCAGCACGGACGGACAACATCGCAACAGGCGCTTCAAGGGACTTTGTTGCTCAGCAAATTCCCCCACATCTCTGCGCAACACAGGACCCGTGCCACCCCCCGCAACACAGGTCCGTGTATTTTTCTGATTTCGGACAGGATTCTGCGCCTGTTTGGAAAAAGTGTCATTTGATCTTTGGTGTTTTTCGGTCTGCCTCAAATGTTAGAAGTGCTTTTGAATCAGGTTAGTGACCGCACTCGTTTTGTCTCGTTTCGTTTTGCTTCGAATGTTTTCAGCTCAAGTGAAAGATGCACACTCTGTTTTTCTTGGAAGCGGACTTCGGTCTCGCCTGTGCAAGGTAGAAGTTAAGAGTTCTTCTGGAAGGCACCTGTGCCAAGAAAGCATCAAAGTTACCTGTTTGGACCAGATCCTATTTGTCCGAAAAGTCCGCCTGCAGCTCAAAGGTGGAAGTGTTCTAGCTGCTGTGTCTGGAACACCTGTTCGGCCACCAGTGCCGCCGATGTCCACTTTGGGTGCGGACCAACTGCAGCACACGCGGCTCCAATTGTGGGGTCGAACAAGCTAAGCAATTTGGCTTCGCTTGAGTGGCCCCCCTCTGTTCTCTCATGTCTTTCACTTCCACAGGCAAGCTGTCTGTTGGAAATTCTTGTTCTTGGAGAATGATTTTTCCACACTGGATGCCTGCAGTCGCCTTGATGTAGCAGTGTGTGTGGAATGCACGGGCTTGGTTTGGGCCCCAACATGCGAAATTCGCGACTCCAAAACAGGGGCCGCCAAGCGGCTCCGATTTTGGGGTCCTCTAGTTGCCAGTCAAAATATGTTAAAGAAGGTTGGCTGCATTTCGCGGCTTCTTTTTTGGGGCCGCGAGACGGCCCCATTTTTGGGGTCGCAAGTTTGATTCCTGCACCCACAGCGGCTGAATCTCGTCAGCTGTGCATGTCATTGATTGTATTGACTTTGGGGAGCGTCTGGTGGAGGACCGTTTGGAAGGTCGGAACTTGTCCAAAGCAGTTGTGTTGCTTGCCCTTAATGGTGCGGCAGCCAGCGGAGTGCAACTGTGGAGGGCCGACCTGGCGAAGCCAGAATTGCTTGTGTTTTGCGGGCCTTAAAATGGGGTCGCCCGACAGCCCCATAACTGTGCAGCTTTGAGATCGTACAAAGACAGGGAATTTTTCCAGAGGTGACTCTAGCATCTCTGAACAGAGCAGATCAAGCCATGCCATGCAGAGTTATGGTATCGAGAAGGTCGGCCGGAACAGATCATACAAGAGCGGCGGAATTTTCTGGAAGGCATCTCCACCAGATCTGAACAGGACTTCTTGAGCTGTGTAGAGTTATGGTATCGAGAGGTGCGGCTGACGGTTCGGAATTTGTGCACGGTGCTTAACTCCAAACCCCTCATGCACGACATGGGCTCACCTGGCTCTTGCCAGATTTTTTTTTGCTCTTTTAGCAGAGACCCATTTGTAACATTCCTTGCCTCTGCCTTGCTTCTGGTTGCATTTGCTGTTGCTGGAACGGCTGTTGCGTCCCCTCAAACAGTCCGAACTGCACTTTTCGCTGCCGGAAGTTGCGCCTCTACTTCAATTTCTTTTTGCTTTCTGAGTCTGTGCGAGCGTCAAATCGGTTTTTTTTTAAAACTTTTGCAAGCAAACACCATTCTTTCCAATGCTTGGATTAGAAGATGATTGAGACTACATCTTAATAAAAGGGTATCAAGACCAATGAATTGCTTTTTTGGTTGCGTGTCTCTTTGCGCAGGTTGCATCCGCTGTCACAAACCTCGGCCTTTGGAGGTCTTGCGCCTCAGCACGGACGGACAACATCGCAACAGGCGCTTCAAGGGACTTTGTTGCTCAGCAAATTCCCCCACATCTCTGCGCAACACAGACCCGTGCCACCCCCCGCAACACAGGTCCGTGTATTTTTCTGATTTCGGACAGGATTCTGCGCCTGTTTGGAAAAAGTGTCATTTGATCTTTGGTGTTTTTCGGTCTGCCTCAAATGTTAGAAGTGCTTTTGAATCAGGTTAGTGACCGCACTCGTTTTGTCTCGTTTCGTTTTGCTTGAATGTTTTCAGCTCAAGTGAAAGATACACACTCTGTTTTTCTTGGAAGCGGACTTCGGTCTCGCCTGTGCAAGGTAGAAGTTAAGAGTTCTTCGATTTTCGTTTTTGAAACGATTTGGTTTGCTAGCCCTCAAAGCCCGGAAGGCAAGTTTTGATTTTCAACACATGCCTTTTTCCTTTGCGCATGCTTGGACGTGGCAGTGTTGAATTTCGCTTTCGTTTGCCTTTTTGGTTCAAGTTCCTTTTCTGGTCAGATTTTTTCATTTCATTGTGAGCCTCGAGTTTCGGCGTGAGTGCGCTCTTCCTGGGCGCCACTCCGTCACACGGACACGTTCTGTGTAGAGGTTCACTAAAGGCTTCGCTGCTAAGAGTTTCGTAGCGGGTGCGGGGCTCTGCATGGGCGACGCCGGCTTTGGTCAGGTTTCGCTGCTCAGAGCTCAGTAGCTGGTGCGGTGCTCTGTTTGGGCGACGCCAGTTCTGGTCTTCTCGTTTCATCAGCTGGATGGCTCATGCCTTTATGTGGCTGAACCGAACACTCTGGGATCGGGGCTTTCGTGGCGGCTCTGATTCGCCGGTCACTGATGATCACATGGAAAACGAGTCTGACACAGATGCCAACCGTCGGGCTGACTGGTTTGTTGACTTTGATGGGCGGGCTGTTGCTGGCGCGGAAGTTCATGACCGCGATGATGCACGTTGGGCTCGCCTGCGGAGGCTTGAGCAGGGGCGGCGGCCGCTCTTTGTGTCCCTGGAGGATGTGGTTGCAGGCGGTGCTGCTCCAGATTCGGCCGGGCCTATGGACACCAGTGGCGCTTCGACTCCTGGGTCACACGTGACTGCTGTTGCTCCTAGCCTCCCCGAGCTTGTTCGCCGCCTGGAGGTGGCGGTTGAGCGCCTGGACGGTCTTGATGCTACGGTCGCCCTTTTGACCCACCGTCTGGATTCTGCTCTGGATCGCATTGGCTTCATCGAGGACCATTCTCTTGTCCAGCTGGAGAAAATTATCCGAGATCTTCGACTACGACTCTCTGAGTGTGAATCCCATGCATTGACTGACGTCAGCGGTCGCAATGAGCTTCGAGATGATCTCACTCGGCATGTTCAGGCTTGCGGCACCCCGGAGGTTCATGCTGGACTTCGGCGTCAGCTGGCGCAGATTTCTCAGGATGTGCAGTTCTTGATGGAGACGCGCCCTGGGCCTCGTACTCCATGATGCTATGACGGTAGCAGGCCGGCTTTTGACTCTGGGTGACGGCTGGTTTTGGGATCTTTTGGCACGTTGCTGTGCAGACGGGGAAGCTCGCCGAGTCGTACTTCCCCAGCTGTCACTTTGGCGGCGGGTATCGTCTTGCAGCCTCCTAACATGAGTGCCTTCCGGCTCTCCCGAAGGAAAGACCTTCTGCATTCTCAGCGTCCTGCATCAACTGCACAATCCTGTGAGTCATGTGTTGCTGAACATTGGTTGATTGTGCTGCCTCGGTATGCATGTACTTGCTTGTGCCTTTACCGCTCGCCGGCTTAGAGTGCGGGCTGTGCTTTCGGGACTGGTCTGGGGGTGGGCCACGCTGGCGCCGCTTCCTCAGTCGGAGCCTTCACGCCTGTGGTGCGTTGTAGCCTTCGACCTGGTCTCCCCCCCGCATCAAGCCTGTACTGTCTTGCTTTTCAGGTCGTGGTGACTTCGGCTCCTGCTGGCCAGCTCCTTGATTTTTGAGTCCCAGAGGCTTCCCCTGGGATCTCACGTCATACCTTTCTCGCTTTTCAGGTCGCGGTGAGGATTATTTTTACTGGCCGGCTCCTCGTTTTTGAGTCCCGGTGGCATTCCCTGGGACTTCACGTCATGTTCATCAGGTCGTGGCTGTGACTGAAGAGCCTTGCCGCGCTCCTAGGTGGAAGCACTGGAGCCGTTCTTTCGGTTCCCGTTGTGCTTTCAGGTCTTTCCGACGGATCTGAGTGAGGGGGCTCGCCCCTCATCTTGAGTCCTTTGGCTTGTCCGGGGATTTCACGTGTCTCTTCAGGTCGGTGCTCGATTGCTGGGACCCAGCAAGGTTCTCAATTTTGAAGCACTGGAACCGGGGCATGCTCGGTTCCCGTTGTGTTTCTGGCGGCTTCAGGTCACTCGGCGTTACTCGCCGCGGGGACCCCTGGCCCTGACCTTGGCTGCGTCTGGCAGATTTTTCTGCCTCAGCCGAACTACGGGGTTTCTTGAGTTACCTGGTATATCAGGTCTTGACACTCCCGAGTTCACGCTGTACTGGGACTGCGCTTCTGCGTTAGGCCATCGTGCTTTGCACTAGCACTGCCTTTTGCCCCCGTGTGCCCTTCACACTTCCCCTCCCCACGCTGTCAGGTTGGTTCTCTATGTCGCGGCGGAGCTCTTCACCTTTTTGCTTTAGGTTCAATCGGAGGCGCCCATACAGCGCTCTCGAGGATGATCCGATCGTTGATTCAAGCCCGCCTTCCTTGGGACATGCGTTGGTCCAGCCGGCCTGGGCCACTGCCTCGGATCTTGCGGAACTCGCTCAGGATCTTCGATTGTGTCTGTCACAGGCTGCAAACCTCGAGGGCAGACTTCTCAATGTAGAACATTTGGTGTGGCCTTCGAACCCTGACAGTTCTCTTTTGTCGGAGGCTGCGGATCGGTTTCTGGCTATTGAACAGAGGGTCGCTGCTCTCTCCGAGGGCTTGGATTCTGTGTCGCTTCATGTCAGCCAGACTGCTTTACAGACGGATGCATTGTCCTGGAGGTTGGATCGCTTGGAAACTCGTGTCAGGTTGCTCTGGGAAAATGTTGATGATCTGCGGTCGGCTCTGGGCCTTTTGGTTCCAACGATTACTGGTGATCCCCAGGTGGCGGCTCAGGCACTTTCAGACGCTCTCCCCGCCAGGATGGCACGGGCTGAACAGGCCCTCCAGTCATTGTCTCAGCAGGATACGGCATCAGGGTCCAGTTCACTCCTTGACCGCGTGGCTCGCCTCGAGTCCTTGGTGTCGCAGCTGCCGGCGATCTTGAGCTCCGATACCCATAGCCTCCGCTCTGACTGACAGGTTGTGTTTACTGGGCATCAAGGCGATTTTGGCAAACGGCTTTGGAAAATTCCGATTCACCGGTTCTCTTTGGACCGGTTGCCTTGGCTAGCTGTGTGTGCCTGCTGATCAGCCTGCCGCTCTGACCTGTCTGCTAGGCTCAGGTTTTTGGGGGTGGGTTTCCTTGCTTAGGGTCTCTGTGCATGATCATGGCCAGTCGCTGGCTGCCGGATGGAACGCCTCGCAAGCCGTCTTTTCCTGCACCAGTGCCGGCTCCGAGCCCGGCTCTGGCTCCATTGCTGCTACCTAGGTGCCACTGCGCGCCTTTGGCCTCGGAGCCCCCGGCTTCTGCACCGTCATTGGCGCCGAGGTTTCGTCCTCCGAGCTTTGTGGACTTGTCCGAGGTCTCTAAGGGTGGCTTTGCTCCGCTCCGCAGTGCAAGGGTGCTCCCAAACATGAAGGATTTTCCTCCTGCTCCGGCTCATCCTTACAAGCCGGCGGCACCGGGCACTATGTTGTCGGCCTGGCAGAATGCAAAAAACGAGCAGCTTAAGGTCTGGCTGGCCCTGGCAGCCACGGCTGCTGCGGCCTCTGCAATGGTGGCAGAGCTCTTGCAGAGTCCAAATTCCTCGGTACTTCTGGTCCGCCTGGTTCATCGGAACGCTCCTTCAACTCTCACCAACTACTTCGGACGTTGGAAACATTGGGTCGAGTTTTGCCAGGTCCAATCGGCAGATGAATGGGCACCCAAGGTAGCCTTCCTCTGCGATTTCTTGATCACGCACTGCAAAGGTCTTCTTGGGTCAGCTATCGCGTGGCTCAAGGCCTTCAGGTTCATCACTACGCGGCTGGAGGTCCAGTCATTCAAGTTGGCGCTACAGTCTGAGGCAGTGCGGGCCTTTGGCAAATCCGTGAATGTGGTTCAGCGCAGGGAGACAGCACCTTTCCCGCTTTCCTTCGTCATTTGGTTGGAAAGGCAAGTGCTGGATGCGGCCCAGTCCGCGGCACATCGAATTCGGTGTGGCTTCATACTGGTTTGCGTGTTTGCCAGCCTTCGTTGGTCGGATGCTCAGTGGTCTCCGCCTTCCTTTCTTCACTTGGATCGGCAGGCGCTTCTTGGATGTGCTACAAGGACGAAAACTACTTCTCGGTCCATGCCGTGGGGAGCCTGGGCTCCCGGGTTTCTCGCCAGGCCTCAAACGGTTCCCGGCTGGGGCCAGGTCTGGCTGTGTCTGGTCCAGGAGGCGGTGACCCGTACTTCGGCCGCTCGTCCTGGGTTTCAGCCCGATTTTCTGGTTGCCGACTTGGGTCCGGATGCTCGCGCTCCGGTCTTCTTGGCTCCTTTGAGCCGTGCTGCGGGGGTGGTCCTGATCCGCAGACTGTTGGCGATGTGCTATGAGAGCTACCCGGCGGACCAACGGCCGGACTTGTCACTCATTGGCGTGCACAGTGCCAAAGTCACGTTCTTATCCTTGGCTAAGCAGCTCTTGTTGGACGAAGCCTTGCGGCGAGAGCAAGGACACCACCGCCCGCCGCCGGGGCACGCCATGACCCGGTTATACGGCAGAGATGATGTTTCAGGTCCCCTCACACTCCAGTCTTCTATCGTCCAGGCAGTGGCGAATGGATTCCGACCGCTGAGGCCAGCCCTCCGAGGTGGCGCGCCGCCACTCCCTGACATCACAGTTGCTGTGCCGCCGGCTTTGGAGCCGGCCGCCTCGGACTCTCGAGCCCCTCCGGTGGTGCCCAGGCTCCACGACAGAGAGCCGTTGGTTCTCGATCAAGATTCGAGCTCTGATTCCGAAGATGATGCTCCGGCGGCTCCTGAGGTCGAGTCCACATCAGCGGCCCCGGCCGCAGCATGGGAACTGGTGTCGTCCGGTGACGTGGCGTCTTCACCGCAGGATCTTGGTGAGCCTGAAGAGTTCGAATTTTTGTTTAATCCAATGACGTCAATTGTGCATCTTGCCAAGCCTTGCCGGGCAGACCATCCAGCTTGTCAGTTCCGCCCAGCCCCGGATGCCGTTGGGGATGCTCCTCTTCGCCCAGGTTGCTCCATAAGAGGCAATCTGGCAATTGGAGCCTTAGTTCGGACATCTGAGATCCCGAAGGGTGCACGTTTGTGCTTGAAGCACGGGTGTGGGAAGGACCCCGCACTTGCATCCTTGCTGGACTCATAGGTCTCTTTCGGGCGTGGCTGCGGGGCTTCGTTGCATGCCTGGGGGTGCACGCTTGCACCACGGGCCTTGTGCACGGTCGGAGCCGCTTTTGCATCTGCCTCGCCGGACTCGCTTCCCGGCACCTTTTGATCTGCCGATGTTAGTGCATTTGGTACTGCGCGGCTCTCTGCTTCGTGCTAGACGAGCTCGGCCAACCGGCCGTGGTCTTCTACGTAACCTCAGGTTGCAAAAGCTGGGATTGCCGCTTGGTGCATTATGTTCTTCTGCACTTCTTGGCATTTGGCAATCGCTAGCGTTTGGCTGCTAGGAACTTAAGAAAAGCCATGGCAGGATCCGCCGTCATGCTCGATGATCCCGCCGCTTTCACGGGCCTTCTCACGAGATGGGCGGTCCCGGATGCAGTCAAGGACAAGCTTCGTGATGCAGGCTACAACACCATGGCTCTTCTGGCCCATGCTCTTCCGTCTTTGGATGACCTCGAGGCCTTTGTTGAGTCTTTGCTGGGCAGAGCAGTGGGTGCGGACCCGACGGTTCCCATTTTCTCTCCGGAGGCGGCTGCCCTTCGTCGTGTGCTTAAAGAGTGCATCAACCTGGCAGGGCCGGCCGGTGCTTCATCCTCGGCTGCGCCGACCCCGGCCGCTGTGAGACCAAAACTGCAAGCTGCGGATGTCCAATCGCTTGTGGTGGAGTTCTCGCGCAAATATCCTTCGGAACTCCTTCGCCCGGAGGTCATGCCAAGTCTGCCTTTCCTGAATGCGGTCAAGGATGCGGTCGATTCTAAGCAGCTCTCCTGGATTTCATGGCGACTTCGAACGAGTGAGTCAGATGAACAGGCCCTCACCGAGCGACGCAAACCGCGCACGGACTCGCAGATGCTACAGTCACTGCTCGGTCCGGTCTCGGATGAACTTGTGGTGGATGTCCCGCAGCACCTCCCCCTTGAGTCTGTGATTCGTCGCTACCTTGACCGCATGTCTTATGCCCTCGCGGTTCTTGATGCATGCCACTTACTGACTCTGAAGAAACTCTCGGAGAAATTTGTGACCCTGGCGACGGCGATCCCGATTGACCGTTCCCTGCGAGGACCCACGCTGGCGGAGGCTATGGATGCCGATCGTGTGCTTTGGAGTGCCATATGCTCCTTGCAGAAGGAATACGGCTGGTCTTTGCAGGATTGTGTCTCTGAACTGACACATGTACGATCGGACCTTCACAACGCTTTGGCTCCGCGGCCGAAGGTGCACCAGGGTGGAGGTGAGCCTCGCGGCAAACGCCAGCGCACTGAGCCGCCGCCCGCTCCGCATCCAAATCCTCGAGCCAAGGCCAAGAGCAAGGCCAAGCCACGCAAGAGTGGGGATGCGGGTCCCTCCAAAGATCGCGTTTCCATCAGCAACTGGCCGAGCAATTGGGCTCGCCAGATCGGCGGGGTCGGTGCGTGTATCCGCTATCACACGGATAAGTGCAGAAACAAATCTTGCCGTTTCAGTCACAAGTGCCCGATCCTTGGAGCTGATGGGAAGCCATGTGGGGCTGCTCACCCTGCATCCGCGCATAATGCTGCCCCCCATTGACGGGCAGCGGTGGAGGATGGCGTGGACCTTGATCCCCCGCCTGATTTTGCCCCTGTGGTCTCTGGGACCTCTCAGTCTGAGGCTGAGTCCTTTGCAGATTCAATTTTGTCCGAATCAGTGGCCTTATCGTGTAAAAGCGTTGAGAGGCTCGCTGACCTTTTGCTGCGAGAAGCACCTGACCTTGACGATCGGTTCTCTAGTGGGGCTTCGGTCTCGGCTGGTCTTTACCATCGGATCAAGGTTGGCCTGCGCAAGGTATGCGGTTCACACCCTTCATCGGTGCGGGTTCTGAATTCGCTCATTTCTTCAATGTCACCTGGGTTTTTCCATTCATCTTTTGTCCTGATCGACGGCATTGCTTCAGAGGCCCACTGTGATACAGCCAACTCGGACCTGCCTAATGTGGTCATTCCCATTTCTTGTTTCTCCGGTGGTGAGTTGCGGGTTGCGCACCCCTCCGGGGCTGATGTGATGATGCATGATGGCGTCAAGCACCCGGCTGTCTCTCTGCCAGTGTGTCGCGGCCCAGTGATCTTCACTGCATCGTCTTGCCTTCATGAAGTCCTGCCCTTTGAAGGCCGCCGTCTGGTTCTAGTGGGTTATACACTTCGAGCTTGTGAGTCGCTGGCTGCCGACACTTCCGCCCGCCTTTCCTCCCTAGGGTTTAGGCCTCCTTCCCCTTCGGTTGTAACAGGTGCTTTGCCCATTGCCCCTCGTGCTCTTGCACTCACTGAGGAGCAGCGGGACTTGCTCCCACGGCCAAATTCTGTCAGTGCGGTCGGTTCTGGCAACCAACTCCGGACAGGGATTTCCCCTGACTTGCCCCAATTGCCCGCTTCCGACTTTCTCTGCGACTGCAATTCGGGGCGTTTCTTTCTGGATATCTGTTCCGGGGCCGGGGCTCCTGTCAGTGCGGCCATGCAAGCCTTGGGCAAGGACTGTTTTCAACCAGTTGACATCATTCATTGCCAGGATTTCGACCTTCTGCAAGATGAATTTTTCGCTCAACTCCTGGCGCTCTGCTCCAGCGGTGTAGTGGGAGCGGCCATAGCGTCTCCGCCCTGCGGGGAATTCAGCCTTCTCAAACTGCGACCGGGCGGACCACCCCCGTGCCGCACACCGGAGGAGCCGCTCGGGTGTATTTCCAACGATTGGCATCAATCTATGGTGGCTCAGAACAGTGCTCTACTTCATGATCGATGTCGGGAGCTTCTCTCCAGTGTCGCGGCTCTGGGAGGCTGCATTGTTTTTGAACAGCCGCCATCTTCCATGACTTTTTTGACAGAGACAATGCAACAGTGGATTTCCAGCACACTTTCATTCGGTGCCCAAGTTGCCGCTTGTCATCACGGCATGGATGTGTCCAAGCGCTGGCTCTTCTTGTCCAACAGGCCGGACATACTTGACCTCGCGTCTGAGTGCCATCATGGATCCCGGGCGCACAAGGCTGTGTGGGGGATTCGTGCAGATGATGGAAGTTTCCTTAGCCGAATGACAGCTGCGTACCCGATATCGCTGGCGGCCGCTTTGGCTGCGCTTCTGGGAAGGTACACTTCGTCTCAGGGCCGGCTGCTTCCATGTGCAGAGTGGCGCTCTGTGCTCCCCCTGGACCCAGTTTGGCCTCATCTGAGTCGCCGCATTGAGGATGGGGCAGGTGTCAACAGTACAGCGTGCTGGATTACTCCACAAGCCGATGACCACCTTGCAGGTCTTCGCAAGAAGTGGACGCAGCGTCTGGTCGACAGTCGTCTCTGTCTCCGCATCTGTTCCACTTTGCGAGCTGGTACCGATTGTCCACCAATCAGCGCGGAGGAGCTTCAGCCCTTTCTTGATGACCTGTGCTGCTTTTGTGAGGTCCCTGCACCAGAGGTCGAGAATTTTCTGTCGATTCAACCGGGACAGCCTTCCGCTTGAACGTCCTGGAGAAGCTGCTGGCTGTTACTAAAGACCCTGAATCGGATCTATGCCAGCATCTCCGGAAAGGGGTGCGCATTGGTGTGGACCACGAACTGCAGCCCTCGCCTCATTGGCCACTTCGCACGGCAGATCCGATTGTGTCGGACCTCGTGATTTGCGAAGGTTCTTGGAAAAGTGCCTCCGACCACCCGGATCAGGTCCGGGAGCTCCTGGCCCAGGAAATCGCTGAAGGCTGGATCGTGGAGAGACCTTCGGTTCAATACCTGCATGATCACTTCCCGGCGGTGGCTATCGGCAAACTTGGACTGGTTCTGGCTGAAGGCAGGTCGCCTCGACTCACGGTCGACAGCTCGATTAGTGGAGTCACGGCCGCTTGTCAGATTCCAAATCACATGCTGCTGCCACGCATATCCGACGTTGAGGATTGTGCTCCCTCCTGCCTAGGCCGCCAACCTTGGATCACGGTTTCTTTGGATGTGCGCAAGGCTCACCGCATGGTCATGGTGGAACACTGTGACCAGGCTTTGCTGGCCTTCACCTTCGAGGGACGCGTCTTTACGTCCAGCACCCTTAATTTCGGGGCCAGAGCATCCGCTTTTTGGTGGGCCAGAGTTGGTGGAGCCCTGCTTCGTCTGTCGCACGCAGCGATCTGGCTTTCACATCTGCTTTGGGGCTACGTGGACGATTTTTTGGGAGGTTTTCGCGGCGATGTGGCTCCGATCTCTGCCTCCATTTGGATCCTCTTGCTCTTAGCACTGGGAGTACCACTTTCTTGGCCAAAGTGTGTCTGGTCGTCGGAGTGCATTTGGATTGGATGGTCCATCAATCTTGAAAGCTGGGTTTGCGAGCTCCCGTCTGATAAAATTTCCAAAATTCTTGATCAAATCGCTGAGCTACTTTCTGCTGGGGACAAGGTCAAGTTCAAGACTTTGGAATCACTCATTGGACGCCTCTTGTGGGTTACAGGCTTGTGGACGGTGCTTCGGCCTCTGCTGTCCCCATTATATGCAGCTCTGCAGCGCTTACCAGCTTCCTCGGTTGGTGTCAGCCCTGAGTTGTGGGCTGCGATCAAGCGCAACATTGCTGAGGATTGTGTGCTGACCCGCTCGGTTGGGCATCCGTCCTTCCATAAAGGTGCTTGCATCACTCGTGCGGCCAATACTTTTGTGTCTTGCAAGCAGGATCTTGATGAGGTGCCATTCAGGAAGCGCCGATTGTGGGTCGAGGTTAAGGATCCTGGGCATCCGCTGCGAGTCCTCGGGGATGTCGGCAGGTCAAGCTTAATTGCATGGCGTGCCATCTTCCAGGGAACCCCATTCTTGAAGGCGCTTCGCAGCCCGCTCCCGCTGAAGGTCATTGCGGAGGCGGATGCCTTTGCCGATGCGGAGGTGTCTGGGTTAGGAGGCTACGCCATGTGGCCCAGTGGTCGCACAGTCTGGTTTTCCATTAGAAAAGACAGTCAGGAGTGGGCTGCTCTCACTTCGTGGTTCCCTCCGCCCCTCCAGGCGCATATTTCGGCGTTGGAACTCCTGGCTCAATTACTGCTGCTTTGGTGTGTCTTCGCCACTCTGCCCTCCAATCGTGGACTATGTCGGGCTTGCCTTCGTTCGGACAACTCCGGTGCAGAGGCCTGTGCCTCCAAGGGCCTTTCCTCGGTGCTGTCCATGAGCGAGATTGTCAAGAAGTTCCTTGCTTTTCAGGCGTGGTCTGGTGTACAAGCTGAGGTCGAGCATGTGCCTGGGTATCGCAATGAACTTGCAGATGCGCTCAGCAGGCTTACGCCGAACGACATTGCACCATTGCCCTTGGGTGACCGGGTGCATCCGCCTTTGCAATGGCTTCTTGAGCAGCGGCTCTTTTTTGAACCCGCTTCGGCCTCGTGGCCGCCTCCTTTCAAGACTTGGTTGAGTAGACCCTGAGTGCGATGTTTATAATTACTTCCACTTGTTTGCAGGCATGTTCGCCAGCGGCGAAAATACATCGCGATACGCTTCTCTGTGTTGTCTGGAGCCTTATTGCAGAAAGCTACTCTTTTGCCATGCCGTGCACGTGTGGGAGATGTGCGACCGGATGATCTTCAGCACGCTTGCTGACGTCGATCATGCGTGCCGCCCCGGCCGTGTTGCTTGTTGCCGGCTCCTTCTTGCACTCTGATGCGGACTTCGAGCTTCGGCTTGACGGAGTTCGTCCTTAAATCTGTGATGTATGACTGCTGCCGGCCTCGCTTGCCTTCCGCAGTCTTTTGCTTACAGTATCCAGGGTCTTCTTGCTTCGCACCAACATGTCGGGCCACTCGGAGGAATCTTCTTCCCGTTTGTCCGGCGCTGCTCCAGAGTCGTCTCCATTTTCGGGGCCGGTTCTACGGGAGGCTGATCTTGGAGCGTTGGGGGGCCTGTCCTCCGCCGTGTCTCCAGTGTGATCTCCTTCGTGCGGAGGTGCTGATGCTACGTGCTGAAGTTGCGAGCCTGCGCAACTCCAGCTTGGCTGCACTCTGGGATGCGATCTATGCCTTGCAGGGCCAGCTCAACGAGGTTCGCCCACGTGGCGAGGATGACCATTTTTCATTCGTGTTTACGGCGGTCGAAGAGAACACTGCAGCTCGCCTGCTGCGCTCGCCTTTGGCGAATGTTCGCTGCCTTCGCTATCATGAACAACGTCTGGACGCTCTTGTCAATCTCAATGCTGACATCGAACGGCGACTTCGCTCGCTGGACTTGGCATTGTCTCGAGCCTCAGGTTAGCTCTGACAGCAGGTTGTGCATCCGAGTGAAAACCAGCGAATGTGTCCTGCACTTCATGACATGTTTCTCGATTTATTTCGGGTCTTTTCCCCTGTCCGGGTCGCGAAACGATCTTTACTTGGCTTTCGACCCTTTTATACCCTTCCCTCTGACCAGTGCGTTTCCCCTTTCCCTTTGGAGCTTGCTCTCCACGGTGGGACGGGGCTTTGAACGTTTGCTGCGTTGGCTGGGGGTCTCGTCGGGTTGGTCGATCGTTGACTCGGCATTTCCTTTCGAGAAAACATGTCGTTTGAGTGCGTGCACATTTCTCTATCTTTCGGAATGGAATTATATTTCGATTCCGTCTGCTCCCGTTTTGGAATATCTATTGGATGGATATTTCACATTATATTTCTTGACTGGGAACTTGAACGTATACGGACTAAGAGGGCTTCAAACGATTTTCGTTTTTGAAACGATTTGGTTTGCTAGCCCTCAAAGCCCGGAAGGCAAGTTTTTGATTTTCAACACATGCCTTTTTCCTTTGCGCATGCTTGGACGTGGCAGTGTTGAATTTCGCTTTCGTTTGCCTTTTTGGTTCAAGTTCCTTTTCTGGTCAAATTTTTCACCCACCACCATCCCCTTGCACCCGCCTTGGGGGGGTAGTTGACGTACGGCTTTCGACCCTTTTCTACCCTTCCCCCTGACCAGTGCGTTTCCCCTTTCCCTTTGGAGCTTGCTCTCCACGGTGGGACGGGGCTTTGAACGTTTGCTGCATTGGCTGGGGGTCTCGTCGGGTTGGTCGATCGTTGACTCGGCATTTCCTTTCGAGAAAACATGTCGTTTGAGTGCGTGCACATTTCTCTATCTTTCGGAATGGAATTATATTTCGATTCCGTCTGCTCCCGTTTTGGAATATCTATTGGATGGATATTTCACATTATATTTCTTGACTGGGAACTTGAACGTATACGGACTAAGAGGGCTTCAAACTAGAAGGCACCTGTGCCAAGAAAGCATCAAAGTTACCTGTTTGGACCAGATTCTATTTGTCCGAAAAGTCCGCCTGCAGCTCAAAGGTGGAAGTGTTCTAGCTGCTGTGTCTGGAACACCTGTTCGGCCACCAGTGCCGCCGATGTCCACTTTGGGTGCGGACCAACTGCAGCACACGCGGCTCCAATTGTGGGGTCGAACAAGCTAAGCAATTTGGCTTCGCTTGAGTGGCCCCCCTCTGTTCTCTCATGTCTTTCACTTCAACAGGCAAGCTGTCTGTTGGAAATTCTTGTTCTTGGAGAATGATTTTTCCACACTGGATGCCTGCAGTCGCCTTGATGTAGCAGTGTGTGTGGAATGCACGGGCTTGGTTTGGGCCCCAACATGCGAAATTCGCGACTCCAAAACAGGGGCCGCCAAGCGGCTCCGATTTTGGGGTCCTCTAGTTGCCAGTCAAAATATGTTAAAGAAGGTTGGCTGCATTTCGCGGCTTCTTTTTTGGGGCCGCGAGACGGCCCCATTTTTGGGGTCGCAAGTTTGATTCCTGCACCCACAGCGGCTGAATCTCGTCAGCTGTGCATGTCATTGATTGTATTGACTTTGGGGAGCGTCTGGTGGAGGACCGTTTGGAAGGTCGGAACTTGTCCAAAGCAGCTGTGTTGCTTGCCCTTAATGGTGCTGCAGCCAGCGGAGTGCAACTGTGGAGGGCCGACCTGGCGAAGCCAGAATTGCTTGTGTTTTGCGGGCCTTAAAATGGGGTCGCCCGACAGCCCCATAACTGTGCAGCTTTGAGATCGTACAAAGACAGGGAATTTTTCCAGAGGTGACTCTAGCATCTCTGAACAGAGCAGATCAAGCCATGCCATGCAGAGTTATGGTATCGAGAAGGTCGGCCGGAACAGATCATACAAGAGCGGCGGAATTTTCTGGAAGGCATCTCCACCAGATCTGAACAGGACTTCTTGAGCTGTGTAGAGTTATGGTATCGAGAGGTGCGGCTGACGGTTCGGAATTTGTGCACGGTGCTTAACTCCAAAACCCCTCATGCACGACATGGGCTCACCTGGCTCTTGCCAGATTTTTTTTGCTCTTTTAGCAGAGACCCATTTGTAACATTTCTTGCCTCTGCCTTGCTTCTGGTTGCATTTGCTGTTGCTGGAACGGCTGTTGCGTTGCGTCCCCTCAAACAGTCCGAACTGCACTTTTCGCTGCCGGAAGTTGCGCCTCTACTTCAATTTCTTTTTGCTTTCTGAGTCTGTGCGAGCGTCAAATCGGTTTTTTTTTTAAAACTTTTGCAAGCAAACACCATTCTTTCCAATGCTTGGATTAGAAGATGATTGAGACTACATCTTAATAAAAGGGTATCAAGACCAATGAATTGCTTTTTTGGTTGCGTGTCTCTTTGCGCAGGTTGCATCCGCTGTCACAAACCTCGGCCTTTGGAGGTCTTGCGCCTCAGCACGGACGGACAACATCGCAACAGGCGCTTCAAGGGACTTTGTTGCTCAGCAAATTCCACCACATCTCCGCGCAACACAGACCCGTGCCACCCCCCCGCAACACAGGTCCGTGTATTTTCTGATTTCGGACAGGATTCTGCGCCTGTTTGGAAAAAGTGTCATTTGATCTTTGGTGTTTTTCGGTCTGCCTCAAATGTTAGAAGTGCTTTTGAATCAGGTTAGTGACCGCACTCGTTTTGTCTCGTTTCGTTTTGCTTGAATGTTTTCAGCTCAAGTGAAAGATACACACTCTGTTTTTCTTGGAAGCGGACTTCGGTCTCGCCTGTGCAAGGTAGAAGTTAAGAGTTCTTCTAGAAGGCACCTGTGCCAAGAAAGCATCAAAGTTACCTGTTTGGACCAGATTCTATTTGTCCGAAAAGTCCGCCTGCAGCTCAAAGGTGGAAGTGTTCTAGCTGCTGTGTCTGGAACACCTGTTCGGCCACCAGTGCCGCCGATGTCCACTTTGGGTGCGGACCAACTGCAGCACACGCAGCTCCAACTGTGGGGTCGAACAAGCTAAGCAATTTGGCTTCGCTTGAGTGGCCCCCCTCTGTTCTCTCATGTCTTTCACTTCCACAGGCAAGCTGTCTGTTGGAAATTCTTGTTCTTGGAGAATGATTTTTCCACACTGGATGCCTGCCTGTGGGCGGGTCGTCTTGATGTAGCAGTGTGTGTGGAATGCACGCTTGGCTTGGGCCCCAACATGCGAAATTCGCGACCCCAAAACAGGGGCCGCCAAGCGGCCCCGATTTTGGGGTCCTCTAGTTGCCAGTCAAAATATGTTAAAGGAGGTTGGCTGCATTTCGCGGCTCCTTTTCTGGGGCCGCGAGACGGCCCCATTTTTGGGGTCGCAAGTTTGATTCCTGCACCCACAGCGGCTGAATCTCGTCAGCTGTGCATGTCATTGATTGTATTGACTTTGGGGAGCGTCTGGTGGAGGACCGTTTGGAAGGTCGGAACTTGTCCAAAGCAGTTGTGTTGCTTGCCCTTAATGGTGCGGCAGCCAGCGGAGTGCAACTGTGGAGGGCCGACCTGGCGAAGCCAGAATTGCTTGTGTTTTGCGGGCCTTAAAATGGGGTCGCCCGACAGCCCCATACCTGTGCAGCTTTGAGATCGTACAAAGACAGGGAATTTTTCCAGAGGTGACTCTAGCATCTCTGAACAGAGCAGATCAAGCCATGCCATGCAGAGTTATGGTAGCGAGAAGGTCGGCCGGAACAGATCATACAAGAGCGGCGGAATTTTCTGGAAGGCATCTCCACCAGATCTGAACAGGACTTCTTGAGCTGTGTAGAGTTATGGTATCGAGAGGTGCGGCTGACGGTTCGGAATTTGTGCACGGTGCTTAACTCCAAAACCCTCATGCACGACATGGGCTCACCTGGCTCTTGCCAGATTTTTTTTGCTCTTTTAGCAGAGACCCATTTGTTACATTCCTTGCCTCTTGGTTGCATTTGCTGTTGCTGGAACGGCTGTTGCGTCCCCTCAAACAGTCCGAACTGCACTTTTCGCTGCCGGAAGTTGCGCCTCTACTTCAATTTCTTTTTGCTTTCTGAGTCTGTGCGAGCGTCAAATCGTTTTTTTTTAAAACTTTTGCAAGCAAACACCATTCTTTCCAATGCTTGGATTAGAAGATGATTGAGACTACATCTTAATAAAAGGGTATCAAGACCAATGAATTGCTTTTTTGGTTGCGTGTCTCTTTGC